ATACGTGGATGATCTGCCGCTCTCTATTTTAATAGAAAATTGTTTCCTTCAACTGTTTTGCTTGTTCTTCTTCCGTCTAATTAACCCTTTCGTTAAAAGCACGAGCGCTTCTGTACTTAAAAGTTACTTGGTGGTTGTAAACTAATGGAGCCTGACATTTGTAAAAACAGTTAGCGGACCAACCGTTATAACCAACAGCATACAAATGAATAAAGGCTGATAGTTTCGAAAGAAACTGTTTGGGGCTGCGTCGGTGGGAGTAACGAAATAATTTGGATATATCAACAAAGTTGAAATGGTAAATTGGCCACCGTAACGATTACAAAAGCTGACGTTTCGAGCGTTAGCCCTTCGTCGGAGCGAATAGAGGAATTGTGGGTTGTGTGTGCTTTTAAAGGCAGAAAATGGAGCTACGTTATTGGTGGGAACATGGCAACGAGAAAAACACGAATAAATTAGTGGAATGAGAAGCGTTCGTTGATCCCTGTGGGATTTAGACTGCCGGTTTGAAAGATGAGCTTTTGTTCAAGAGTTTTACGGCTTTCCGTGCTACGTAAGTGTAAGGAAAGACCGCAGATTGCCATATGTTGCTTAGAATGATTAGGTAAAGTAAAGTGTCTAGCGACTGGTTTCGATGTGTCCTTGTCATTCCTTTCCACGTCTCGGAGGTGTTCTCGGAATCGGTCACCTAGTCTTCTGCCTGTTTCGCCGCTGTATATCTTTTTGCAATAGGTGCAAGATATGCAATAGATTACATCGGCGGAGGTGCACGTGAAGTGATCGGTGATGTTAGTGGATCGTTTCGGTCCCGATATTTTATCAGTGTTGTGAATGAAAGGACACGTTTTGCATCGTGCACGAGCGCATTTAAAAGTGCCTGGCTGGTCATTAGTCTGAAAAGAACTTCTGACCAAAAAATTGCCTATGTTTTTGTCGCGTTTGAATGAAATGAGGGGAGACTGCGAAAATATAGTGCTCGTCTCTGGATGGTTTTGAAGTAATTTAAAGTTTTTAAGAATTATGGATTTAACTGAGTGGTTGTGAATGGTTGTGGTTGAATGTTTCTTTTATAACTTTTTTTCGTATTTTCCATTTTTACCTTTGTTTGTTTGCACTTTCTTTTTTTCATTTTTGTCAAATCTGTCCACCGCCAAGATCCAAATTCGCTCGAATATTTTTGCACAATTTGATGCTTCAAGATATTTTAGAACCTCTGTCGAGGGACAAACATCTATCATACATTCTTAAACTTGCAGTAAATGGTTTGAACCCGGGGGTAACATGTGAAGGTGTAGTCTGATCGTCCGGGTGAGTGTAGTCCTGAAAAGGACTGTTGTCGGTGGCAGTGACTGACGTTTCGACAACCTGTGCGGAAGTCATCATCAGAGTCAAGTGAATCATCAGTCAAGTGAAGTCTGAATCATCATCAAGTGAAGTCTGAATCATCAGTCAAGTGACTCTGAATCATCATCAGAGTCAAGTGAAGTCATCATCAGAGTCACTTGACTCTGATGATGACTTCCGCACAGGTTGTCGAAACGTCAGTCACTACCACCGACAACAGTCCTTCTCAGGACTACACTCACCCGGACGATCAGACCACACCTTCACATGTTACCCCCGGGTTCAAGCCATTTACTGCAAGGACTGTCATCGGAATGCTTTTGACGATAGCGTTGAATTTTTTCTTTACGTAAGTACTGTTTCTAAACACTCTGCGATCTATATTATTTGATCCATTTGACGATGCTAGATAAATCAGGTCTGTACACGCAAAGAGAGATCAGATCATTCAAAGGTTTGAAGCATATGAAGAGACTTTCCACCGT